GGGGGACAGCTTGAGGCTCCGTCTTTAAAAAAAGAAGTCAAGATTACCTTTCTTTTCCTTCCCTTTCATACAGTACCCATTCTCTATGTGCCAGCTGCTTCAGCAGTTCAGTCCACCATGCAAATACTATGAGGAAAATAATTAAATTTGAAATTTCACAATCCTTCTTGGCAACATTATTCTTTCTAGAAATCCCCCAGCCTCTCTGATTCCTTAGCATTTATCTAATATTCTGTCTTTAGTTCAATATAATGTAAAAACAGATGAAATAAGTTTTCTAACAATGCCAGTGTATACTGAGTGCATTATTCTGATGTCACAAAATTACTCTCAAAGAAAATAGCCTCATTATTTTTCCATAGATCTATTTCCCTGTGAAAACCCACCTAATAAGGAAGAGAAATGGGAATGCAGAAGGGACACTTATCATTCCAGAGGGCCTGCCAGGTGGTAGGCAGTTGATTTAAAATCTCATAGCTTGGGTGGTGCCCATGGCTCAGTGGGTAGGGTGCCAGCCACATATTCCGAGGGTGGTGGGTTTGAACCTGGCCTGGGCCAGCTAAAAAACAACAATGGCAACTGCAACAACAAAAAAAAAACAGCTGGGCTTTGTGGCAGGCACCTATAGTCCCAGCTACTTGGGAGGCTAAGGCAAGAGACTTGCTTAAGCCCAAGAGTTTGAGGTTGCTGTGAGCTGTGATGCCATGGCACTCTACCCAGGGGCACAGCTTGAGACTCTGTCTCAGAAATAAATAAAATAAAATAAAATAAAATCTTGTAGCTTGCTTAACATTAGAAATTCTTAGCCTTGCACTGTAGATAAAAAAAACTGGGGCTCTCCGAATTTACTTAGCTCACTCAGTGCTACTGAGTGATGGAGCTGATATTCTTATGTCATACTGCTTTCTTTTTTTTTGAGACAGAGCCTCAAGCTGTCCCCCTGGGTAGAGTGCCGTGGCATCACAGCTCACAGGAACCTCCAACTCCTGGGCTCAAGTGAGTCTCTTGCCTCCGCTTCCCAAGTAGCTGGGACCACAGGCACCCGCCACAACGCCTGGCTATTTTTTTTTTGGTTGCAGCCTTCATTGTTGTTTGGCAAGCCCGGGCTGGATTCAAACCCGCCACCTTAGGTGTATGTGGCTGGCACCTTAGCCACTTGAGCCACAGGCCCCGAGCTGTCATATTGCTTTCTTAAAGAGAAAAAATTAGAGTGCATTAAATTTTTTAAGAAGTCCCTTGATTGCTTTGGGAACCTAACATCTAGCCTGGGGCCTGGCACATATTTTGTTGATCCAAACAGGGTAAGTGTGTTTGGCATGACTGTTAGATACACAAAAGGAGGCTACATAGTTCCTTCCGACTGTCATTAAAATTCTGAGAAAGCGGTTTGGTGCCATTAGCACAGTGGTTACAACACCAGCCACATACACTGAAGTTGGTGGGTTCGAACCTGGCCCAGGCCAGCTAACCAGAAGTGACAGTTGAAACAAAAAATAGCTGAGTGTTGTGGTGGGCACCTGTAGTCCCAGCTACTTGGGAGGCTGAGGCAAGAGAGTTGCTTAAGCCCAAGAGTTTGAGTTGCTGTGCTGTGATACCACAGCATTCTACCAAGGGCAACATAGTGAAACTATGTCTCAAAAAGAAAAAATTCTGAGAAAGCTTGGTGTGTGATGCAGTCAGCTTGTCTGAATTTGCCTCTGGATCTTAGGGATTGGACCATCCAAGTGCTATTGCTATGGAAGCGGCAGAGTATTAACTGGGTCTACACTTGCCCATTTAGCATTTCCCTTTCCCTTCATGGTCTATCATTGTTACCCTTTTCAATGGCCCCTGTTAGAATTTTCCTTCTGGTGATTTCTTAATTTCTACTTCTTATTTCCTTTTTCCTCTTTTCATCTGCAGAGGCTCCGGGGAAACCTTGGGGACTTCTTTGTCGGCTGCATCTTCACAGCAGAACTGAGTACTCCATTTGTGTCATTAGGCAGAATTCTGATTCAGGTGTGTATGTATGAAAGGGCAGAGCTAGTGCAGGAGGGAACGTACCGTGCATTTGCTTTGGAGACTATAGGGTTTAGAGAAATCCCTTTATGCTAGGAATAGTGGGGTAGCAGACCCTTCAACTTGAAGGTCAGTTGGTCATGTAAGCCAGTGGGGATTAAATTGTAGATTTGATCCAAGTTTAATAAAGTGAATCATATTTTTTCCTTGTATTTCTAATTCACTGTTCCTGTTCTCCTAAGCTAAGTGGCTTAGACAAAATTCAGCATCATTACTGGAAAAATTATGAGGCCATATGCATATATAAATATAACAGAGCTAGGTATGGTGGCATGTGCCTATGGTCCCCTTGAGCTCAGGAGTTTGAGGTTACAGTGAGCTATGATTGTGCCACTGCACTCCAGTGTGGGTTACAGAGTGAGATCCTGTCTCTAAAATAAATAAGACAGTGCTCAATAACGTCTTCTACATGTGTCAGTGAACTAAATGAATATCTAGGGGTCAAGGAATTTGGCAGCCTTGGTCTTTGATTCATACACATACCTGCTTGGCCTTTACTTTTGTAGGATGTGGACTCGTCATTCCCTGACTGGCAGCAGAGTATCACCTCCTAGTGACCTTGTATTCTTCTTCCCCTTCTTTTGCAGCTAAAGCAGCAACACACCCTTCTGTACAAGGTGAACGGAATCCTTACACTGGCCACCTTCCTTTCCTGCCGGATCCTTCTCTTCCCCTTCATGTACTGGTCCTATGGCCAACAGCAGGGACTGAGCCTACTCCAGGTGCCATTCCATATTCCTTTCTTCTGCAATGTGGCCAATGCCTTCCTCATTGCTCCTCAGATCTACTGGTTCTATCTGCTGTGCAGGAAGGCAGTCCGGCTCTTTGACACTCCACAAGCCAAAAAGGATGGTTAAATGCTCCAGGAGTCAGGCAATGAAGGTGCCTTCTCTTATCAGCTGCCACCTCTACTCAGTATTTCATGAACCAAATTGTGCCCTGGGTGGGCTCAGCATTTTGGATATTGACAAGCAGATGAATTTGAGTTTTTCTAAAGAATATTCATATTACCTCCCTCTTCTAACCTGCCCCTTTTGCAAAAGCACTTTCTTCTCAGTAACAACAGTTGGATCCTGTCAAACCTCTACTGCAGCAAGGTGGTTTTAATGCAAGCCTGAGAATCTGCCCTGGGTCTTATCTCAAGAGCTCTGGGAGGTCGAAGCACAGGATGTGAAGATCGGTGGATCAGGGTGATGAGTGTCTGGGCACCTGCCTGGCCCTTAATATTGGTAGCTACTTACACTCCCAACCACTCAGGGCAGCACCCATAGTACTGGGCCCGCAAAAGTGAATGATGTCTTGGTTCTTGAAATAATGTCTTCTTGTGCTATTGGCCTAGGAAAATCATTGTGTTTAGGTAGTTTTTGTTGTTTATCAGATAACCCTCTGGTTCTTTGCCTTATCCTCTCATCCATGTCAACACTGACTTCCAGTCAGAAGTCTCACTGCCAGTAGGGTATGAGGCATGGATGGGAACCTGAAGCACTTGAGTAGGTAGGGAGGCCAACAGAGGTCTGCAAGACCTCTGCAGGCTGACTTGGTAAAAAGACCGTCAAATTCACAAGCTTGTTGAAAAAAGTCACAAATAGTAGTCCCTTTTTAGCATGTGCCTTCATACCCAGCTTTCCCCATATCTACCTGTAAAGGGTGTTCTCTCCTAAAAACTAGAGGGGCAAAGTGAAATGATGGCTTTGGTAGCTGTTTACTGGGTAATCCCACTCTTTGACAGTCCTTTTCATCTGATATGAAAAGGGACTTCTATACTGCAAACCATGAGATGTCTCATCTAGACCACAGAATACTTTTCCCCGCGCCTCCTGGTGAAACAGAGCTTGTGTCCAAAGCCCAGTCCTGTGTGAGTGTACTGGTATTTAGCCACAGAAGACTGGAGAGCAAAAGGGCAGCAACCTGGCTGGGGACTGACACCTTCACCCTACTTGCAAATAGGATCCTCTGGTGCCAACACTAATTATTCCTTAATGATGGGTTTCAGAGCCTACTACCATGTTTTCTTCAAGTGGTAGTAAAAAACTAGAATTTAAGTGCCTTTTAATTCATCCGTGAACTTTTAAAGAACTGAATGATTTATAATAGTGTCTGAAATTTTGACTGTTTCCGTCTTTAATGGATGCCATTTAAAAACATAAAATGCTGTAATTTTTTTACTGGTTTGTTTTTACTATCAGTATATCTTTATAAGTCACCATTGGTGATTAAATTGCACTAATATCTCCCAACTTATCTTCCTTGGTGAATACATCATTACTGATTTCCTTAAGAATGATCTTGTGACCCAACTTGACTGGTTGCTGTGTGCTAATTCCTGGTCTGTTTATAGCCATATTAACTGGCAGTGGGGTATGTGTGTGTGAATTATGTTCATCTTTCAGGATGGCCTTGCTCATACCTCAAACCTGTTTCTGTGGCTCATGATCCCAAGAATACGTTGACGGTTCCCAGAATTCAAGCCCAGTGGTCACACACTTCATAAGGCCCTTCATAAGTGAATACTATTACAAGTTGGGGGCAAAAGCCTGACTGTGGTCACAGAGCCAAGGCTGCTTTATTTGGGTCGGGGAGGGATCCTGAATAACATGTTTTGAAAGAGGGCGTGGCTATAAAGGATGTGATGGGGCATGTCTTCTTCCCTTATCTCCCCAAATAAACATCTCCTCAACCAGTTCTCAGTCCTTTAATAACCCACCACCTTGAATTCTCATTTTTATGTTCCTGCAAACATCATTCCCTGTTCCTCTCATTCATCCAAACCATGATAGCCCCATTCCAGGCCAGAGGATAAATCCACCCACTTTTTAAAGAGGTCCCTTCAGAATTGAGGCATGCCGTGGTCAAGCAATCTTCCCACCTTAACTTCCCAAGTAGCTAGGATGACAGATAGGCTCTAACATACCTGGCTCCCATACAGTCTTAACCCTGCCTCCTCCAGGTACATTGAATGGGTAGAGTTAAGACTGTATGGGAGGATCACTTGAGTATGGTATGCCTCACTTCAGAAGGGACCTGTTTTCTTGACGTCATTAATCTACCTCAACACTCAGGGTCTAAGCCTCTCATTTTATAATTGTGCAAGCCTCTTGGGCACACAAATCACATGGCCAATCAGAGACAGAGCCAGGACTCTTTGCTTCCCCCCACCCCACTTTCTGAAGTAGCTCATGAAAAATATAATGAAATGACTCTTCAAGAGGATCTCAAGAATGTAATGTTTCTTCGCTTGGGTTGTTTCACCTTTGCTTGGGTTTATTTGCCAAAATTTAGAGTGCAGTCCAGTTATGCACCTATTTCCCCCAGCTTATCTTGATATTGAAGGCTATCTAAACCCAATTTGAGTTTATTTAATCCTAGGCTATTGTTCTAAAAAAAATCAAGAGATAAGATGAAACCCAAAAGAGGGGAATTTTATTATAGCTTGTATGTTACAAATACCTAAGAAACTATTTTCTCTACACTGTTATTGCCATATACTTTTTATCTTGTGTACAATTTCCTGTAACTATAAAGTTTGTGCTTCTCAGCTCCAGCCCCTACAGACCCCAGCTTTTTTCTGACCTGCAAAGGTCAGAAGTTGCTAATCTTCTGCAGCAGGGTTTGGCGCCGCTCCTCAGGGCTAATGTTCTCAGCTATGGACTTTAGGAAGCGCTGCTCATTTACCTTCTGGAGCAAGGAGCTAACAGAAGGGTTGGTCTTGCTCAGGGTCTCATAGCAGGTGAGTATTTCCAAGGCCAAAACATAGAGTGGTTCACAGACCTCTTGGTGGATCATGGCCATGATGTGCAGAATGTGACAGAACACCTGGGTGTAAACAAATAGGGTTTCCTGGGTCAGGTCTTGTTCTTGCCCTTGGGCCCATGGGCCAACTGACATAATCAACCTAACTGAGTCCAGGAGGTTGGTCAGACTGCTACAGAGGAGCCTGACCACATGGCTCCAGCCTTCCATGGGAAGCCAATTATGACAACTCTTGCTACAAAGAAACTGGAAAACCCTCAGGAAGAGTACAGAGAGTTGGAGCTCCTGGGCAAATGGCTTCAGGTTGAGCAATGGAACAAACTGAATATACTCCAGGCTGTAAGGAACATGTAGGAGCTGTTTCCCCAACAGTCTCCTGGTCAACTGGAGAAGATACTGCCACTCTTGGGGGCTGCACCAAGGCATGAGTTGCACAAGGGTCACCAAAAAGCCCTTGCTGAACAATCTGACCTCCTCTGGATTGCCCACATCTACTACCAAGAGAGACAGCATCTGTTCAGAGATGCTGCTGGAGATGGAGCAACACTCCATCCAGGCAAGAAGCCCTGTGCCTGGCCCATACCCTGGGTGGGCCTGGGAGGTCCAAACATCTTCAGAAAGCTTACAGACCTCAAAAAGTGTGGCTGGCACCTCACACTTAAAGTGCCCTTCGAAGAAGTTCTTCAATCTCAGACCCACGGTCCAGTCCAGCTGTTCCAACTTCCGGTGGAGCCAGGACAGGGACTTGATCCAGGTGTCTGGAGAGAAGGTCTCAGCATTGGATGATACAATCTCACACAGGAGCTCCAGGATATGGATCACCAGGTCCTTTTTATCCAAAGAGAGGCACCGATTCTTGGGGAGCTGCCAGTATTTACTGAAGGTATCCAAGAGCTGACACAAACTGAAGATGAGGGGGAATGGGGAGCAGGTCTGGAGCCAGTATTCCTCTAAGTTCGCATTTGCTTCTAGAGTCTGGATGAAGATCTTCAGGCTGAGGTCAACCTCTTCAACATCTAGCATCAAGAAAGGCAGCACAAATTCCTTCAGCACCTCGTCTGGCTCGAGAAGAGCAGCAACTGGAATCCCTTGGGGCTTGACAGGGTTCATCAGGCAGTTTAGGAGCTCCAAAAATTGCTTTTCTTCCTTGGGTGTAGAGAACTTTGTCCAGACGGTTTCTTTGAGGCAGGACACCATGAAAGTCCTAGAGGAGTTTAGCCCTTGCTCTTCCACAAACCTAAGGGCAGGAAAGGCAGTGAGAATCTGAGCCAGGAACTTGTGGGTGCCGAGATTGATCACAGCCATGCTGCACATTTTCTTCACTGTGATTTCTGGGTGCACTATGATTAGGCGGGCCACAGAAGCTACAGCTTTAGCCAAGCCCTGTTCAGAAGCACTCTGCGCGAGTTGGTTAAAAGTTGTATTGAGGTCTTCCTGAAAACCCTCCAAGTAAGCCAACAGCTTTTCAGATAGGCCCTTGGGCCCCCAGGAATGCAAGACACCTGAGAGGACTTTATTTTTATCTGGCAGGGAGAGGTCTGCATAACATTCCAGGATCAAGTCGATCACTTGTTTGATCTGAGATTGAGGGATAGCTCTGTTGATTGCGCTGACTTCCATCACTGTTTCCAGTAGTCTTAACACCAAGTCTGGATCTCGGAAGAGAGCCCTGTTGTTCACTAGGCAGGCTACCCACTCATCTGAGAAGGCCCATTTCTTTTCAGAAGCAAAAATGTAGCACATTTCCATATGCCGGTCCATCTTCTGCTCAATGATGGCCATGGCAATGGAGGCAGTGATGTCCTCAAAGCCCTTGTTCTTCGGGACCCTGCTTGTTTTCCTCAGGAAGTCCCTGACACACTCTGCCAGCTCAGAGACCATTTGCCGCTCTTCCTTGGATAAGCTGGTGGTATCCAGGTAGAGTTTCAGGTTCTGGCTAAAGGAAGTCAGGCTGTCACATAACCGATAGCTGTCATAATTTGTCCCCTGGCTGCTGTTAAGCATGGTCTGCAGCTCCTCTCCCCACTCCCGCAGCAGACTGTGCATGAACTCAAACCCCACGAAAATGGTCTCATTTGGGAGTTTGGCCAGTGAGGTCAGGCTGACATCTCGTTCTGCCTCCTTTACCTTCTCTGCCAGTGCCTGTTGGTGGTATGGGTTCTGGGTGTCTGAATTCCACACAGAGATCACTGTGGCCAGTTTGTCCAGATACAAAGTTGCAGACACTTCCTGGGGGTCTTCCTCGATCAGTGCAAAGACGGTCAGCATGTCAGCCAAGTTGGCTAATGCACAGCACTTCATTCCCACGCCCAGGATTCTATTTTGGATTTGCTTCAGCCCATTCAGCAGCATGGCCAACAGAGGCATGGTAGGACACACATCTGGGTCAGACTTAAACCTCTTTGGAGGATGGCAGAACTCATCCGAAGAGGACAGGTACTGTTGGACCATTGTCCTAAATTGGGAGAGCAAGGGGTCCTGCTGATCACCCCTGTGCTTTATCATTTCCCACCAGACATCCAAGAAGAAGGCCACATCCCTAGAAGAAGTGTCAATAGTCATGTGCTCCAAAAAGCGCTCAAGTTCTGTGCGGCAGATGGTGGTGGGCAGAGCCATGAGGAGCTGAATAAAAAGTCCAGAAGCTTCCAGGGACTTGAGCAGCTCAAAAAGGACTGTGTGATTGATGGTAGGGATCATGTTACCTACCGAGAAAAATACATCTTCCTGCCACCGAGTTTCAGTGTCAGAAGGGGTAACAGGGTAGGGCTGAAGAACTTTGGCCCAGATAATGATGAGAGCTTTCTTCTTCCAGGCAAAGGATTGGGAGTGTGCTGTGGCTGAGGAGATCTCCCGTAAGGCTTCCACAATGGGCCGGCCAACATGTTCCCAGTCAGACTTTGTCAATTCTGCCAATGCTCTGGGGTGGAACAGCTGCTCAGCCAGCAAGAAGCCCCCATGCAGAATAGTCATTTCTTCACAGATGTTCAAGGGTCCTGCACAGAGAAAAGCCAAATAAGAGTGTATCAAACATTTTTCAAAGTAGTAAGCAGAGTTTTAGGAGGAAAGATAGCAGTTAGTAGATGGGTTGTCATTATCAGGGTTAGAGGTGACAAAGGTACTAAATGACATCCATGGAAGAGGGGGAAGGAGGGATAGTTACAAGAGCCTCTGCAGAGCTGGAGTCAGAAGGACTTAGCTGAGGAATAAAAAATGACTTCTAAGCTCTCTTTCCTGGGAACTTGGTGGGTACCATTAGAAATAGGGAACAGGAGAATCACCAGGTTCAGAAGAGAGAAGATAGGTTCAGTTTTTGGTTATCTGGAGTCTAAGGTAGAACCTTAAGGTAGATATCCTGAAGCAATGGAAATGCAGGGCTGAAGTTCAAGAGAAAAGTCAGCCCTGCAATGAGATTCTGGAACTATTTGCCCAGGGAGGATCACTGGAACAGGATATGAATGAAATCCGTCAAGAAATGTGAAAAGGGAAAGCTGCACTGCTGAGGGTAGACCCTCCAGCAAAGGAAGGGCCAGCAGAAGATCCCAGGAGAAGAGTTTAGAAAGGGAGACAGCACAAATAGTACCAAACTACAGTGGTCACCAAGTATGTGTTGTAGGACACACAGATGAGTGTCTCAGCAAGGGTATAGACTAAGGGGGGACAGCCACCGGGGCAGTCAGACAAGCCCTGCCTTCCCCCTTTTTTAGCCTTACAAATGTTGTCTCTCAGAGTAACAGTCCACCCTACAGCTTCCACCCATCAAGAAGGATAAGCTACTCATGGCCCTGGTTTTACAGGTGAAACCAGGGGGTAGACACAAAAAATAATGCACTAGATCAGTGGTTCTCAACCTTCCTGATGCCACAGCCCTTTAATACAGTTCCTGTGAGTCATGACCCATAGCTTGAGAACTGCTGCACTAGATTAAGGAAGAAAAGTCCTGCCTTCAGTGAGCTATAAACTGACACAGATTTTTTTTTTTTGAGACAGTCTCATTATGTTGCCCTCAGTAGAGTGCTGTGGCGTCACAGCTCACAGCAACCTCAAACTCTTGGGCTTAAGTGATTCTCTTGACTCAGCCTCCCAAGTAGCTGGGACTACAGATGCCTGCCACAATGCCCAGCTATTTCTGATGTTTTAGTTGTCATTGTTGTTTAGCAGGCCTAGGGTAGGTTCAAACTTGCCAGCCCTGGTGTATGTGGCCAGCACCTTAACCAGTGAGCTATGGGTACCAAGCCTAACACAGATTTATTAAGGAAGACATCTTGGGATGTTTAGTCAGACACAAGTTTAAATCCTAGCTTAGCCATTTAAGTGATGTGATCTTGGACAGATTACGTCTCTGAGCCTCCCTTCTGTATATGTGGGGGATAATAAAGACTTCATATTAAGACTCTGAGGGTGAAATATATATACTATTCAAGCCTTTGGCACTGGGATGGTGCTATTACTTCCTGATTTCATCTTCCAAAGATGCTATAAAGACTAAATAAGATATAGTTACAAGGCCAGGTGTGGTGGCTCACACCTGCCTATAATCCTAGTACTCTGGGAGGCCAAGGTTGGTGGATTATTTGAGCTCAGGAGTTCGAGACCAGCCTGAGCAATAGTGAGACCCCATCTCTACTAAAAATAGAAAAACTGAGGCCAGAGTTATCACTTGGAGCTAAGAACCTGAGGTTGCTGTGAGCTATAATGCCACAGCACTCCAGTCAGGGCACCAGAGGGAGACTTTGTCTCAAAAAAAAAAAAAAAAAGATACAGTTACAATAAGAATCACATCACAAAGAGCCCAATTAAATGTTCAATAAATGCTGTTTCCCCCCTCCAGCCTTTTTATTGTGGGCAGAATTAGCATCTTGTCACTGTTCTTTGCTTCCCCTAGTTCAGAAACATAAGTTATCAAGTATACTTCTTCAGCCCCCAAACTAAAATCAGTACAAGGTGCAGCCAGGTGCAGTGGCTCATGCCTGTGATCCTAACACTCTGGAAGGCCAAGGCAGATGGATTACCTGAATTCAGAATTTCAAGACCAGCCTGAGCTAAAGTGAGACCCTGTCTCTACCAAAAATAAAAAAAAAACTAGCTGGACATTGGGTATTGTGATGGGTAACTATAGTCCCAGCTACTCAGGATCACTTGAGCCTAAGAGTTTGAGGTTGCTGTGAACTATGACACCACGGCACTCTACCTAGGGCACAAAGTGAGACTCTCTCAATAAATAAATAAAATCAGCACTGCTCACTATTCAATATTTGGCTCTTCTCCTTTCCCAGGGCCCAGAGATGTTATTCCTTTCTCAGACCCCCTTGCCTCCAATTTCACATACTCCTTAGTTTCACAGGCTAGGAGCCAGCAGCAAAAATACTGATTACAAGAGGCTAAACAATATGATGCCCTTCCCACCATTTATGGGAGCAGTAAAAGGCCAAGGGCTCAGCACTCCAGGAGAGCCATTATGAAGGCACTCTGTCTTGGCTTACATGGGTGAGTTAGATTCTGGGGGTTAGGTAACTGAGGGGGGTCCTCTGTGGGTTACAGCTTTTCTCTCTGCTTCAGGTGGCTCTCTCAGGGCCCCCAAATATGTTCCCTACTGACTCTGTAAATTTAGTTTGATTGCACTGCCAATTGTGCTGTGCAGATGTTTGGTCCTCAACACCTGTCCACCAGACACAGTATGTACATGTGCTGCCTGAAGTAGTAATGATTTACCAGCTGAGAGAAATCCAACGGCTTGATCAATGATGGTCAACCAGCACTGGTGAGTGCCCACTTCTCAGGTATGCTCCATGCTCAGAGCACTGTGCTAAGTGGTACACATATAAGACCTTTTTCAATTTTCGAAATAACCTTTTGAGGACTATTCCTGTTTTAGAGATGTGAACACAGAGGCTCTGAAACAATTTGCTCAGGGTGTCAACAACCTCAAAGTAGTGGAGCTGGTACAGAAATCACCACAGCTGCAGGGCCAAACTTCCAGCTCTGCCTTTCCACCAAGAAGAGCTGGCCAGCGACCAGGACATTTCACCACAACCTAATATTACTGGCACATCATGGGGTGCCTCACCCCCAGCTCTCCCAGAACAGCAACCTGGTATTATCCCCATAAAGACATATCCAGCACAGTGGGGAGGCTTGCCAAGGAGCCATGGATTGTTATCGCCTCCCTCTTCTGCCTTTTCCCAGGCCTTGCCCATGAGGATTTTGAATCAAGACACACGGGGGTTCAAAGAGTGCCATCTCAACTGCTGCAGCCCCTCCCAAATGCTAGTGTGATGTGGGGTGCTGTTACCCCAAGGCACTGTACTGGACGCTATATACACGTGATCTCAATGAAAAACGCCCCAAAACTCAGTGAGGAAGGTACAGGGTCATCATCTCCACTCTGTTCATGAGGAAACCTGAGGGCAAGAAACTTGCTCAAGAATTTGGCAGATGGTCAATATAGGAGACTGTGAGGCATCCGCGATTCCCCGAGGCGTGCCCCGAGCCCAGCATTTCCCGAAGCACGTGCAACTAACCCCGACCGCTTTCAGGGTACCTAATTTCACGTCTGTTGTTTTTCCGGTAGAAAGTGGCCGGAAAGAAGTGGGACAACGAGCGGAGGGGCAGTGGCTGGAGCCAGGCCTCCCGACACGCGGTCTCCAAGGGATACCGCCGGCCCTCCAGAGGGTTTTCCGGCCTGGGGTCGCGTTAGCGTGCGCAGCAGGGGTCGGAGGGATGCTCTGGGCAGCAGGGGTGAGAGGGGCACGCTGGGGGGCACAGCCCAGGCAGGTTCTGAGCAGGGAAGCCGGGACACCCACCTAGGTCCATGGCGGCAACGCGGTGGCGGGCGGCGGTGCCCCTCCCCCTCCGGGGCTACCGCGCGGCGTAGGCGGAACGGCACAATGGGCGGGCGCAGGCCCCGCCCATAGCCTCAGCGCGGGCCACCGTGCGCAGGCGCACTCCTCAAGAACGAACCCGCAGCAAGGTCCAGCCCACAGCGCCGCCTCTCGGCCCGAGGCCTCCCACCGGCCAACCGGCAGGTACAACCCTCCCCTTCACCTTTGCGCGCCTTTTCCGGCCCCGCCTGGCCACTCACCTGTACGGTCCCCTTGTGCAGCCCTGCTTCTTGAGTCTTAGTTTGTCCTATCCATTAGTCTCTGTCCCCTAGCTTCGGGTGTGCCCCGCACACGGTTCACCCACTCTGGATATCCGTCCCTGAGCTGCCAGAAGGCTTCCTCCTGCGCTGCGAGTCTCTGGTCTCAGTCTTCCGCTCTGAGCCGCGCCTCCCTCACATTTCGCCCGCAAAGCTCCTCATCCTCATGCCTTACTGCCTCCTTCGCCCGGCAGCAGTGCTCCTTAATTTTCATAGACGCCTTTGTAACATTGATGGGTAATCCTAACCCCAGAATCCACTGTGCGAGCTGAGACATCCAGATCCAATCCACTGGACCCCTGGTTTGCAGTCCGTACTTATAAAAACACACACTGGATTTCCCACTGAGAAAACACACTACTCTGTCTCATCTACCAATCGCTCCCTTTCTCTTCTTCCAGAGACCTAATAATAACCAGCCTCACCTGTTTCTAACTGTCCACCCTCCAGTTTCTAGCACCAAGTACCACCTAAGAAGGCTACCGGGACCCAGCCTCCACAACCCCAATGACCCAAGTGGAGTTCGAGTTAGCCTGCACAACTCTCAAGCAGCTTAAGGGCCCAGTGAGTGATCAGGAGAAACTGCTGGTGTACAGCTTCTACAAACAGGCAACCCAGGGCGACTGCGACATCCCTGCCCCTCCTGCCTCAGATGTGAGGGCCACAGCCAAGTATGAGGCATGGAGCCAGAACAAAGGGATATCCAAGATGGATGCCATGAGGATCTACGTTTCCAAAGTGGAAGAGCTGAAGAAGAAGGAAGCTAGCTAATGACACCATGGTAGTAGACACAAGGAAGTAGCTTGGGTCCTCTGGTAGTGAATGGGCTTCTTAAAAGATCTTGGCTGCTTAAAGGGTAGCAAGGGTAGCTGACACATCAATAAAGCACTTAAAACTGCATGAGTTGATTGTCTGCTGTTGGAAAAGAGAAATGCAGTGTCTGTGTCCTGAAAAGGTATCCAAAATGTATACAAAGCATCTCTCCTGTAGATAAAATTCCATCAGACTGGCATTGGTATGGTTTTAAGTAGAGATCTCAGCCTTCCTAGTCCAAAAACATACACAGATATCTGGGAGGGCGTAAGGGAGAACATCCTGTGGAAATGTCCAAGATGTGACATCACTGAAACCATTCTCCAGTGACTTGGCTTTTTGGAAGGCTGAGGCCCTGGCCCCTTATCAGGGGTTATTGATTTGCTAGTACTCCAACACTACAGAGGGGAAAGGGGCTCTGTCTTTCAAAAAGCTAAAGTCAAGGCTGGGTGGCTCATGACTGTAATCCTAGCACTCTGGGAGGGAGAGGCGGGTGGAATGCCCTGAGTTCACAGGTTTGAGACCAGTCTGAGTAAGGGTGAGACCCTGTCTCTAAAAATAGCTGGGTGTTGTGGCAAGTGCCTGTAGTCCTAGCTACCTGGGAGTCTGAGGCAAGAGAATCGCTGGAGTCCAAGAGTTGGAAGTCAACAAAGTGAGACTCTGACTCAAAAAAATAAATAAATAAAATTACCAGCTGAACTGTGCAGAAGCAAGCTTTTGGGTTCCTTGACAAAGGCCAAAGTTGTACATGGGTTGTCTTTAGGAGAATAAAATATTAAAGATTGCAACAAAGGAAAACATGACAGACGAGGAAATAAAAGGGGCCAACCTCATAAAGCCAAAAATGTCCCAGGTGGACAAACAGCTTTAGATTCTATCATACATAGAGCTCTCTATCATGCACTCAAGAGAAAAACATTTTGATATGTTAAAATAGAAGATAATCAGATAAAAAGGAAACTAGTATGTGTTAGTCATTCCGTACTTACATAAACTGCTTATGTCAAACTTAAATGGTCACATTACAGTAGCCTAATAACACTGGGTAAAGTTTTTTATTCCATGAGAATAATAAACTTTATTACTAGACATAAATATCAAGAATTAGTTATTCAATGGAACACTTGAGAATTAACATATTATGGTCTAAAGCAGTGATTTTCAACCAGTGTGCCATGAGAGATCTTAGGTGTGCAGTGAAAAATTTTAAAGATCCTTAATTATTTTTGAAAGAAATTCAAAGCACAGTAAGTATATTCTTTTCTTTACTCAGTTTTTTTTCATCACCATAATTTAATAGGTTCAAGAGTGCCATCAGGAAAAACAAGGTTGAAAAACACTGGTCTAAAGAAACATAGGAGTTTATCTGATTATTCAAAGTTGATATAATAACTTCCCCATGTATAGGGGTAATGAACCAATAAGCTAGAGGAGGAACATAAATAATCTGGGTTGCTCTTGAAACAGCTTCCTTCCCTAAGATAAGGAATTTAGGGTGGTGCCTGTGGCTCAAGGAGTAGGGTGCCGGCCCCATATACAGGAGGTGGCAGGTTCAAACCTGGCCCCGGCCAAAAAAAAACTGTGAAGAAAAAAGAAAAATAAAAAAAAATAAAAAAAAAGATAAGGAATTTAAGTTGAAAAGTTGTGGAGCTGGACAAAAGATTTCTCTCAAGGTAAGATCACTGCTTTAAGAAAAGGTAAACTAAAACTTAGCCAGAAATTTCAATATTCTACCCTGCCATTAATGGAGAACAGCAGAGGTTATGATTTACAAGTAATTTTATATACATTATTTTGGGACTGGTATCCTCTGAGTCAATCCTTTCCAATTTCAGTTTCTTCTCTAAAATTTGAACCTGTCTACCACTTTAAATAATTAGTCTTGTAGACTGGTTTAACAGCTTGATTTCAGAAGTATACTTTAAAAAAAATTTTGAATAATGAATATGCCAATACAATTCTGTTTCCAAAGATTAAAACCTATTTATTTTTATTGTTCTGATTAAACCCAATTTGTTTTTGTTTTGTACTGTAGAACCAAACAAAAACTCTAAGAAAACATTAAAAAAAATTCTTTTTTCAAGACTGAAGAAACTAATCCACTTTTTTTTTGAGACAGAGTCTCCCTTTGTCGCCCTTGGTAGAGTGCCACGGCATCATAGCTCACAGCAACTTCAAACACTTGGGCTCAAAAGTGATTCTCTTATCTCAGCCTCCCCTGGTAGTTGGGATTACAGGCGCCCACCACAATGCCTGGCTATTTTTTAAGAGACAAGGTCTTGCTCTGGCTCAGGTTGGTCTTGAACTCCTGCACTCAAGCAATCCACTGGCCTCAGTCTCCCAGAGTACTAGGATTACACGTGTGCGTCACTGCGCCCAGCCTCATTTAATCCATTTTTATGACATCATCTAATGATGTTCTTTCTTTTAAGGATCAAATAAATAATACAGAGTGTGCCCAAAAAATGTATACACATTTGAAGAAAGGAAAAAACTATCTAATTTGTAACACTCAAGGCATATTTGACTTCTGCAGTTACAAGAGGTGCTCAAATGTGACTTGTATTCACCTTTTGTTATCAGTATATATTGAATATTGCAATTTTAATACAATTTTTTCCTTTCTTAAAACGTATATGCATATTTCTGGTACCCTCTGTACACCTGTAAAGAAACAGCATAGGCTTGGCGCCTGTGGCTCAAGCTGCTAAGGTGCCAGCCACATACACCTGAGTTGGCGGGTTTGAATCCAGCCTGGGCCTGCCAAACAA